TTAATAATAATAATAATAATAATAATAACGCAAACATAGAGGCTTGAATTTCATTCTCCAACTCCATGGAAAAAATCAACTGGGCACAATGACTTGTTTTTCAACACTGGAGAGATGAAAATGAAAGGATTCTGGGAGCTCCTGGGCTACTCAATATTGCCAAATTAGTAAACACTGGGTTCAGTGAGAAACCCTGTCTCAAAAAGTAAGGTAGAAGTTGGTTGAAGAAGATACTTAATGTTGAATCTTGGCTTCCACATACATGCATATGCCCATCTGATAACACAAGTGCATACACATGAACACATACACAAATATGTATGAATACACATTTAAGATAAGATATGCTTTTGAAGCAAATGTAGTTTTAAAATATTTTATAGATGAACTCATTAAATTGTATAGAAAACAGCATAGGATAATTAGTACCATTGAAAGCAAAAATAAAGATAAAAATATAAAGGTCATGGTTAGTCTCTCATTATGCTTCCTAATTTACTCTAGATTTACTATAGAGAGTATCATATAAAATATAAATAAAGACAACACTTAGGAGAAAAGCTATCCATTGCCACTCTAAAACAACTGGCTCACTCTGCCATGCTGTAAGCTGCCCTGTAGTATGTTTTTGGTGAAAGACAGTGGGGGGAAGATTAAGAAAATTTATCTAAGGGAAGTTGTACAGCTAAGTGAATTATCCAAGGAACAGAGTCACCTCAAAAAAGGTGGTTGTTATTATTATTATTATTATTATTATTATTATTATTGTCCCAAATATGACCCAAGAACCCTGATACACTCTGCCTCTAATAGTGTGTGCCAGCATGATAATACAAAGAAATTCATATATCAAAGAAACTTGAAGGGACAATCAAGTACAGAAATGTGAGAAATCCCTGCTACAGGTCTTGAATGTTTCCTGAAGACATTTTTTAAAACTTGGTTGGTGGAAGCTAGCCATCAACCGGATGTTAGGTCAGATACTGAAGAGGACATGGATAGCTATTGAGAAGATTAAATAGAGTACAGATCTGTCAGACTCTCACTCAGTACAATGGCAGAAGTTAAAAGTCAGCCTTGTACAATGGTTGTCACAGCTATGACATATTCCTGAGATCTGCAGATCACAAAGTCAAGGAGAAAACCCAAATCAGGAACTTGAACATCTGTCACATTAAGGGAAAAAGTCAGGACCATTTTTAAGCAGTCAATGCCAATCTTTGTAAATAATAGTTTCCATACTTTATCTACTGTGGATCATATGCAAGACTGACTTGGTGAGAGAGCTAATTCAAAGTAAAAATCTTAACTTTTACTATCAAATATTTCATAAATCAGATAAAAATCAGATACAAGTGACCTGAGATCTTGATTACTAGTGAAGAATTTATTGTTTTCTGTGTGGTAGCATTTATGGTGTTGGGAAATATTTAGAGAAATTAGTATGTATGATGCAACAATATCAATCCATGAAACAGAGTTTTCCAATATGACTACCTGATAACAAACTAAGTCTACAATTTACAATACAACTAAGTCATATCCTGACTGCTCTCAGGCCCTGATTTTGTGTGCCACCCATCCAGATGTTTTGCTCTGGGGCCAATCTGAATCCCAAGCCACTTTAAAAGTCTTAAAGCATAATGGATACAAGAATCATGGCATAAATTCTTTCTTATCTACTTTACATATTGGTGGGGCAGAAAGTAACTTGATGAAAGAAGAGAATTGTTTTGGCTCACAGTTTGGGGATACAATCCATTATGTCAGGAACAGTAAGTCAGCAGAAACTAAGGAAGTTAGTCATATTGCAGCCACAATTAAGAAGTAGAGTCAAGTACAATGTACAACTTTCTTTTTCTGTTTTTATCCAGTGTATGACCCCATCTGCTGAATGGTCCTACCTTAATTACACCACTTTTGAAACCATCTCACAGAAATGCACAGATGTTTGGCCAATAGAGACTCTTCATTCTGTTCAGTCAAGACTAAGAATCCCTACTTCTTTTTTCCTCCTTAGGAGCCCCAGAGAGGATCAGTGAGGAAGCTCCCATATTCTTCCCTGCTGTGCTCCCACCCCCACCAAATCTCTTTCCAAATCTCCCATACAACAATACAGGTTGTTCCCTCTCCATGGAACATGAGATTGCAGTTTTGTTACATTTAGTATACTCCATATTTTCCTTCTACAATATTTCTACCCTAAATCTTTTGATTCAAATTTTGTTATTGAAAAGACAATGCTTTTTAATTTTTCTTTAGTCTTTTCAAGAACCATTCTATAGACAACAATTACTATGTTTGAAGCAGAAGAAAAGTCGTTTTTTTAGAAGTTAAAGTAGGCTAACATAAAAGTTAAGAGAACAAATTTACCACTAGCTGTTCAAAATCATAAAAACAGAAGTTTCTTATAATAGTTTACAATTTAATTCTTCTGAAAGACACAAAATAAGAAACCTTTTAAAAATACAAAATTCTAAAGGGGAAACTGTAAAGCGAGATAATATTTGAAAGGTAAATAAATAAAATAACCAATAAAAATACAAAATGCTCACATGAAAAATAGTTGGATAATGCATTGAATGAAAATGCCTTTATAAATAGTTATCAATATTTTTGATAAGTATTTTTAAACTTTTTCAAGATTTACAAACTGTTATATATAAATTTCTTAGTTCCTATCAGAAAAATCTTGACTTGAACAAAGATATTAAAACTAAAATTGATTTGCTACTTAAAACATATATATGTCCATTTTAAGGCAAATAAAATATGGAGCCGTTCAAAAAGTTCACAATGATTTTGTGAATTTATGACTCTATGCTGGAATTCAACTTACTGTCAGAATAAGTTTAATACTTCTTACATGCTATAATGTTCCTTTTTTTGAAAAAAGGAATAAAATTAAATTTCACTGTTATTTATTATATGTAAATAAAAAGAAAATAAATAACCAATATCTGTAATGAATGGAAAAGTATTTTCTTAATGAGGAAGTCACAATTACTGTATAATAGGAAAATTGAAAGCTTATATTATTGTCTGCATGCTTTATTTCTAGATTTCTATATTATTATTGTTTAAAATTCTTTAAAATATTTTAGCTAGATCTTAGGAAATTATGACCAGAAAAAAGAACAACATAAAAGTATAGAAAATTAAATTGAAAAATTAAATGTTTTGTATACATCCCATGATCTCACTTCCCAAATTCAAATAAGTTATCTAGAAAGTGTACACAAAGATCTGGTTAAACAAAAAGAACACTTCAAATTTAAAAATACATGAAAGCATTATAATGCTTAGAATGCAAAGCACAGAGAAAAGTATTAAACAGGATATAGTCGTATTATAGTAAGAAATATTTAAAACATTTTATAATTGATAAGAAAAAAATCTATCTGACTAATGAGAAGAGAGATAGAAAGATAATGTTACGGTTTGGGAGACTGTGACCTCCTCTAAAATTGCACATGCAAGAGAGAGGAGGTGGAAAGGGGCAGATGAGGAGACATAGAAGAGACCGTAAAGAAGAGAGAGAGAGAGAGAGAGAGAGAGAGAGAGAGAGAGAGAGAGAGAGAGAGAGA